TCTGCACATATTTCGATGTAAAACGATGCCTCGCATGAATCGTTGTTATGCCTCGCACTTTTGGGAATGGTAAAACGATGCCTCGCATGAATCGTCGTTTTGCCTCGCTGCCTCGCACTTTAATACTACCCGAGTCAATCGAGGATGAGCTCGTTTCGAGCTAGCTTTCGCCTTGCTCCCATCTTGCAACCGATACGGCTAGGCCTATAATTATCCCATGTGTTTACAAACATCGCGTGTAAAGCATGGGGGATTCCCGGAATATATGTTTTGTGTATAGTAAAGGACCCAACAACAGTAGAATATGGAAAATTAACTCACTGAAAATTTGTAGACTGTATTTAACCATATTTAACCATGGGCTATAACTTGGCTCAATGATGTCCTTATCTAATAATAACTCATTAATACCTAATTTATTTGCCTGCACGAAACACCTTGGTCAAGCAAGCCTTTGCCTCTGGATAGTTATTTTTATTAATTAATAGCTGGGCACGTCCTATTGTAATAAGAAGCTCGTTCTAAACACTTAATGTCGCGATTATGTATGCAATGAAACTGCCGTGCAGGTCACTAAAATTCGGACCAGCAGGCCTTCGGACCAATGGACCTTCGGACCAAAGACCCTTCAGATCAATGGGCCTTCGGACAAGAGGTACGCACTCCTCTTGGCAGTTTAAGATGTAGCCTAGCCTAGTAAAGGAAATATAGGTAAATAACAATATAATAATAATAATATAATAATAATAATAATAGATGGATTTATATAGCGCATATAAACGAGGTCTCTATGCGCTCGGGACTAAATGTTGCAATTTTCAATGACTTTCTCCTCCCCTAAGGGTTATTGCATGTCTTCGGCAGCCAGTAAACCGGCGCACTTTCATCTGTCCACGACAGGGGCCGAATGAACCAGTACACTGGGGTATAGGAGCGAGCCGGCCGCGAACCCGTGCCGATATTGTTGGCTATGATCACGGTGCCCCTGCCTTAATCGCTCGGCCATATGGCTTGCTCGAAAAAATATAACGGTATTTATTCTAATAAACAGACATTTATTCGAATAAATAAGGTACTGTACTTAAAATAATGTCAGTATTAAAATCAAGGAAAAAATTCACACACAAAGCTGGGCATCATCAATTGAATGGGTGGAATTTAAAAAGATGGAAGTATTGTAAAACAAGGAATCAGAAAGAAAATAACAAAAAACAATGAAGTTTCAGGAAAACCTTCAATGAATGACAATGAGAGCATTTTAATTGAATATGTCTATTTTTAGGCATAGCTATTAACTAGTAATTGGCTAACCCTAGTTATGCCTAGGCCTAACCAGTAGGCCTAGGCTAGTACATAGTAGTACTACTAGCTAGCTAAAAAAAATCGTTATTATTATCTATTAGTAAAGTAGGCTAGCCTATAGAATAGCATTTTTCGCCAGGCTACATTCTAAAAAATATCACACAACCGACAGGGCCCAAGAAAACATTGGCTTTTTATAAGACAAGCTAGGCTAGACCTGGCCTGGATCGTTTGCAGCGTCTCCGTAACCCTGGTCATTTTGGCCGTAGGGACACAGCGAGCTATTTAATAAATAAGAATAGCCTGTAGGCTCATCTGTAGCCTAGGCCCAGCTTAATGTATATTCAACAAATTAAACCAACTTTAGAGAAAAAATTAAGCATTTATCATCGGCAGCTTCTTCCTCTGAACTGTACTTTTTCCAATTTTCATTTTGCTTTTTCAAAACCGATGACGATGTCATGATTAAGCAGTCTCACTATGGAGGTATTATTGAGAAGGAGATCACTCAAAAAGCTACGTGCACGCAGCGCTATGCAAACCCATACAAAAATTTTCTATAGAATTCTATAAAGAAAATTCTATAGATTTTCTATATAGTATTCTATAGAGTATCTATAGAAAATTTTATATAAGTTCTATAGAATATTTCAAACAAATTCTATAGAAAATATATAAAAACATTCTATACAATCTCTAAAGGATTTCTATACAATTTCTAAAGGATTTCTATAAAATTTCTAAAGGATTAGATGTGTATAAGAGACAGCTAGTTCTATAGAATTCTATAGAGCTCTATAGAACTTTTTTGTATGGGAATGAACCAAGAACAAAACTGCCACAGCGCGTGAAGAACGTTTGCGCGATGCCTTTGAAGTCTTATGTGTTTCCCGCCACCAAATGCTCATCAGGCTTAGTTTACCAAAAAATTGAACATGACGAAATGGAGAGCACGGTATCTTCTCAATGCCGCTACTTACAGTCAATCACTATGTCTGCGCAATCGTTTCCACATTGATCTTTCAAGAAATGCCAAACTTAATAATATTTTCCAAAAAACAAAGTTTTGAATTTAATAAAACATTTACATCAGCTTTAAAAGTATAGTATATTTCGACTTGAATTTCCATAAATTGGATAAAACTCGATAATTCTAACTTTAACAGATATTAATTAAGGAGTGATGAAGAATTATAATAAACTAAGTCATTTTAGGGTTAACGAGAGTTAACTATTTGAAAATTCAATCCAAAATCTGAGTAATTTTCATTTTACGCTGCCTTAGCTTTATAGTCGAAACAATCAATCTTTAGACAAAATTATAATGAACACAGAAGTAATTTTAACAGAAATATTTTACGGAATCTGTTCCTGAAATATACAAATAATAACATACTAAAAGATATTTAATTGGTTCTGTTTCCTAGCAGTTTCTTCTTTACCCAGTCAGCAGCAGCTGACTGGGTTCTGTTTCCTAGCAGTTTTTTCTTTACCCAGTCAGCAGGAGCTGACTGGGTTCTGTTTCTCAGCAGTTTCTTACCCAGTCAGCAGCAGCTGACTGGGTTCTGCAGCTGACTGGGTTCTGTTTCTTAGCAGTTTCTTTCTTTACCCAGTCAGCAGCAGCTGACTGGGTTCTGTTTCTTAGCAGTTTCTTTCTTTACCCAGTCAGCAGCAGCTGACTGGGTTCTGTTTCTTAGCAGTTTCTTTCTTTCTTTCTGGCAACATTCTAAAAGGCTACTAGTGGCAAACTACTGGACCGATTTAATTAAAACTTGGTCAGTAGGACCGGTGCCACCTCACATTTATGTGTTGGTCACAACTTGAAATAATTTTAACAGAAGTAATTTTAACAGAAATATTTTACGGAATCTCTTCCTGAAATATACAAATAATAACATACTAAAAGATATTTAATGGGTTAAAATCAAACGCTTTTTGTATGGAACGCCGTTCAAGCAACAATTCGATGATGAATCAAGTGAATCGTCAATGATGAATCAAGTGAATCGTCGAGGATGAATCAAATGATTCGTCGATGAGAAATCAAGTTAATTGTCGATGATGAATTAAGTGAATCGTCGATGATGAAAGTGAATCGACGATGAATCTCTGAATCTAAAAAAAAAACAACAGATGCACAGGTTTTACAGGGTTCCCTCGAAATAGTTTATTTTATCCCAATCAGGCCCCTTTCCGTAGACAGGATATTTTAGAAGTACAAACTTTTGTAGACAACAATCAGGCCTAGTTGTAGTTGCAGTTTGTTGATCTTTAGTTGATGACCTTTTAACCTCCTTAATTCTGTGCAGAAGTCTAGTCAAGTCTAAATGGATTCCAGCTCATTGAGGAGAATACTGTTGATGTTGAACTTAGAGGAGTGCATCCCCAATTTCCAAAGGAACGGGGTAATTTTACAGTTTTTGAAGTATTACTATTATTATTGTGTATGAAAGATTCCTTATTTTATATAATCAGTGACATATAATTAAAATTTAAATAGGTCGACCTGGGCCAGGTACCGGCACTTGATTGATATAGGCATAGACCAAAACGGCAAAGGAGCAAAAAATGAAGCGCCACCGGGCGCGGGCAGCAGTTTATAATTTTCTGAATCATGTTTTGATTTTTGTTAATGTTTTTTTTTTTTTACATATCCATGACTAGGCCTATATTTTTTTTAAGTGTTATTTATGATTATTATTTTTTCTTTCCCGTTTTTTACTTTCATGGCATAATATTGTTTAGCCTCATGCTGACTGGGTTCTGTTTCCGAGCAGTTTCTTTCTTTCTTTCTGGCAACATTTTAGGGTAAAAAACTTTCCAAAAAATGAATAAAAGACTTCTTCTGTCACAAATAACATAGCAGTCTTGTCCTAGGTACATATGTATTGGCATAAGGTAGGGTCTTTATGGTGTTCAGCGATTTATGGTGAAATGTCATTAAAGGGTTATTCTTTTGTTCTCTCCAGTAACATTTCAAAATTCTACTAATAACAAACCATTGGACCAAATTCAATCAAATTTTTTCATTAAGAACCGGCGACACCTCCTACACCCCAGTCTGAGGTCAGGGGTCACATCGGGGTTAAATTTTCAAAATAGCCCAATTGAGCTCAAATTTACCAGGAATGATCCTTAGGACCTTCTAAACACACAAAAAAAAATACTCTTTACCCCATATGTCAAAGGTTCAAAATGTTACTAATGGCAAACGATTGAACCGAATTCAATCAAATTTGACCATTAAGAACCAGTGACACCTCCTACACCCCTGTCTGGCATCAATGGTTACATAGGGTTCATCGGGGTCAAATTTTCAAAATAGCCCAACTGAGCTCGAATTTACCAGGAATGATCATTAGGGCCTTCTAAATATGAAAAACTACTCTTTATCTATAGGTAAAAATTACTATTAAAAAAAAATTCACTATAGTGAAAATTATCAAATATTGCTAGTGACTAACGATTGGACCAGTTGCATTAGAACATGGGGTGTTCACAGGTTGAGGTTAAAGGTCACAGTGGTTATCTCTTAAAAAATGACTGGGTTCATGTTCTATTTAACGTAGTATCTCTAGTTGTTATTATTACCCAGTCAGCAGCATGCTGACTGGGTTCTGTTTCCTAGCAGTTTCTTCTTTACCCAATCAGCAGCAGCTGACTGGGTTATGTTTCTTAGCAGTTTCTTTCTTTACCCAGTCAGCAGCAGCTGACTGGGTTCTGTTTCTTAGCAGTTTCTTACCCAGTCAGCAGCAGCTAACTGGGTTCTGTTTCTTAGCAGTTTCTTTCTTTCTTTCTTTCTTTCTGGCAACATTTTAAAAGGCTACTAGTGGCAAACTACTGGACCGATTTAATTAAAACTTGGTCAGTAGGACCGGTGCCACCTCCCATTTATGTGTTGTTCACAACTTGGGGTCAAAGGTCACATAAGGGGCATTAGGGTAAAAAAAACACAAAATCTTATAAAAGACTACTTGTCTCACAAATAACGTAGCACGGTCTTGTCCTTTGCATATATACATTGGCATAAGGCAGAGTCTATAGGGTGTTCAGGGATAAGGGGTCAAAGGTCATTAAGGTAATTTTTATCTTTTTTCTGGCAACATTTCAAAACGCTGCTAGTGCCAAACGGTTGTACCGATTTCAACCAAACCTGGTCAGTATAATCGGTGACACCTTTCATACATGGGGTGTTCACTGCTTGGGGTCAAAGGTCACATAGGGGTCATTAGGGTAAAAAACTTTCCAAAAAATTAATAAAAGACTACTTCTGTCACAAATATCATAGCACAGTCTTGTCTTGGGCACATATGTATTGGCATAATGTAGGGTTTTATGGTGTTCAGCGATTTACGGTCAAAGGTCATTAAAGGGTTATTCTTTTGTTCTCTCTAGTAACATTTCAAAATGCTACTAATGGCAAACCATTCAATCAAATTTCGTCATTAAGAACCGGCGACTCCTACACCCCAGTCTGGGATCTGGGTTACATAGGGGTCATCGGGGTCAAATTTTCAAAATAGCCCAATTGAGCTCAAATTTACCAGGAATGATCCTTAGGACCTTCTAAAAACGAAAAAAATACTTTTCACTCCATATGTCAAAGTTTATAGGTCAAAGATTCAAAATGTTACTAATGGCAAACGAATAAACCGAATTCAATCAAATTTGATCATTAAGAACCAGTGACACCTCCTACACCCTTGTCTGTCATCAGTGGTTACATATGGGTCATCGGGGTCAAATTTTCAAAATAGCCCAATTGAGCTCGAATTTACCAGGAATGATCCTTAGGACCTTCTAAACATGAAAAACTACTCTTCACCTATAGGTAAAAAATCACAAGGGTCACTATAGTGAAAATTATCAAATATTGCTAGTGACTAACGATTGGACCAGTTGCATTAGACAGACTCCTACCAAACATGGGGTGTTCACAGGTTGAGGTTAAAAGTCACAGTTCATGTTCTATTGAACATAGTATCTCTAGTTATTATTATCCATCATTATCATTTTTTTTTTCATTCGTGCTTTTTTGGTGTTGCCATTTTGGTTTATTGCCGTTTTGACTTAGGCCTATTGCCCTTTTGGTCTTGCCGTTTTGACTTATTGCCGTTCTGGTTGAAAAGTGTTGCCGTTTTGGTTTGTTGCCATTTTGGTTTATTGCCATTTTGGTCATTGCCGTTTTGTCCAGAAACCAAGCCACTTCTTCAGTGTTTCACTAGCCTAGGCATATGCTTCCAGCTCTTTGGGCCTAGCCCAGCAGGCACAAAACGTTAATTCAACGTTGAAGCAACGTTGAAATGTAGTTGAAACGTTGAAATCATGTTCACAACATATACTCAACATTGAATCAACGTTGGAAATATGTTTTGTATTTAACCCAAGTCTCGGTTGATAATTTAACATTAATTCAACGTTGAATTAATGTTAAAATTTGGTTGATAATTTAAAAATTACAGTACCAACATGTATTCAACATCTTTTAAACGTCAAGTTAATATATAGTTTGCATTTCAATGTAGAATCAGCGTTGAAAATGTGTTACGTTTTTCAACCAAAAACCTATTGCTTTTTCAACATTTTTTCTACGTTAAATGAACGTTGAAAATATGTTGAGATTTTAATGTTATATTAACAACGTAAATTCAACATTTTTACAACATCAGGTTAAATTATAGTTTGCATTGTAATGTGGAATCAATGTTGAAAAAGTGATATTTTTTTTAACCACAATCCTATTGTTTATTGAACATTTTTTTAACGTTAAATAAACATTGCAAATATGTTGAGATTTTAAAGTTACACTATCAACATAAGTTAAATGTTTTTTCAGTGTCAAGTTAAAATAGAGTTTTTACTCAACTTTAATTCAACACTGAATTCATTTTGAAATCTGGTTGAAATTTTAACATAACAATACATTGTTAAGTCTAAATATAATTGTTATTTCAATGTAGAATCAACGTTAAAAATGTGTTGTTTTCTTTTTTACAATATATCAATAACTCAAAGTTATTTCAACAATAACATTGAAAACTGGTTTGGATATTAAAATTACAGTAACAACATTAGTTCAAAATCTTTTCAATGTAATGTTAAAATATAGTTTGTATTTTAATGTATAATCAACGTTTAATGTTACCGTATGTTTTTTTCAATTAAAACCTTGTTTATTCAACATTATTTAACGTTAAATAAACGTTGGAAATATGTTGAGATAGGCTAAATCTGTTCAACGTCAACTTAAAATTGCATTTAGATGTAGAATCAACGTTGAAAATGTGTTTTGTTTTCAACCAAAGACCTATTGTTTATTTAACGTTTTCTCAACATTAAATAAATGTTGAAAATATATAGTTTTTAACTCAATGTTATTTTAACATTGAATTCACTTTGATATCTGGTTGACATTTTAACATAACAATTGCATTGTTTATTCAACATTTTTCCAACGCTAAATTTAAATATAGGCCTAGCCTTTATTTCAATGTTAATCATCGTTGAAAATGTGTTGTGTTTCTACAAAGCACCCATTATTTACTCACCGTTGTTTCAACAATAAATAAATGTTGAAAACTGGTTGAGATATTAAAATTTCAGTAACAACATTAGTTCAACATCTTTTCAATGTCATATTAAAATATAGTTTTTATTTTAACGTATAAGCAACATTTAAAATAAGCTGTGTTTTCAACCCGGAGTTTAAGATTTTACCAAACTTTATTTCAACAATGAATTCACTTTGAAATCAGGGTGCGATTTTAACATAACAATTGCAATATATTTATTCAATATTTTTCCAACGTTAACTTTAAATATAGTTTTTATTTCAATGTAGAATCAACATTGAAAGTAGGCCTACCCATTATTTACTCAACATTATTTCAACAATAAAAACGTTGAAAACTGGTTGAGATATTAAAATCACAGTAATAACATAAAGTTTAACATCTTTTCAATGTCAAATAAAATGTAGTTTGTATTTTAACATATAATCAACATTTAGAATGTTATTTTTTTCAACCAAGTTTAAATTTCTTTAACTCAACCTCAATTTGATATGAAATTTCATAGAAATAATGGTACAAGATTTATTAAAGTTTACTTCCATGGTGGGGTATAAAAAAACTCATAGGCCTATTATGAGAGCATATGATCTTTAATCATTATGGTAATTACATTGGTTCTCTGTCCTTGAAAGTGTGGCAAGTAATGGGCTAATCGGATTAGGTCATTAGGTACCTGTCTCTTATACACATCTAGATGTGTATAAGAGACAGGTTGAACAGCTTNNNGCTGTCTTCATACACAGTTTACATACTAAAGAATTTCAGCATTATCAAATAAATGGTAAGAACTGTATATTTGTATACTATATTACAGGGTGTATCTAGGCTAGCCCAATATCGTAACTGTATAGGCTTGATTATATTATTATGTGGTTATCTTTTGTTCTAGCTAAGATTTAGGCCAGCCAGCCCTCTGGCCCTAGCTAGTAGAAGAGACTAGGCATAGACTAGAGTACTGTAGGGTAGTGTAAGGGCATAGTTAGCATAATTTTACTTGTTCGGGCTACACTGCAAGTTGGATGTGTGGGCTAAGTTTAAATTATTAGCGGTAATTTTTAATAGCCTAGGCCTAGACTTTTCTTTGCAAAATGGCCACCTCCTGTGTTGAAATGCTATAATATGGTCTATATTAAATTAAATTTAATGTTAAAACGTGGTTGCATGGACAAAGTGCAAAAATAAAACAGCTAGGCCTAGGCTAGGCCTATTATGTGTGTTTAATAATTCATCTCATATCATGGGCCTACATACTGCCAGTGGTATAATAGCCACATCACTGTCATGTCATCAGTAATCATTTTCTTCTTTTTTTTTTTTGAAGATGTTAATAATATAAATTTTTATATTTTCTGTCAATAAAGAGAAAAATTAACAATAGGCCTATCTTTTGATGGTTAGTGTTATAAATAATAGAAATATAAAAATAGATATGGGCTAATTTAGTTGTGTGTATAGGCCTAACTCTAACTATAAATAATATGGTATTTCTTTCAGGTTTTCAATCCATTGACAGGAAGCCATGTTTGTTGCAATATATTGTTTGTGGTAGACACTGGGAAGAAACCGACTATTGAATGTGTATTTATTTGTTTCCTGGTACAAAACTGATGTAAGAGCAGCCATGATGAAGCAGTAAAGGTATATAATTTTTATTGTTAAATTTTACAAGAATATACTGCACATTTGCTAATACCACTATCCCACAGCAATAGGTGACTACCCAACTGTGTTGTTTCTTAATTAAAGTCTTGGGTACCTAAGAAGTAATACAAACAGTAAACAGCATTTGTCTTAATCGTCGTTTTACGACTATTATAGTCATACGAAGGCGATTATTAAGTTTAAATTAATTGGGGACAGTCAAATCATAAATATTATCTTAACATACTTAATATTCTTCAACTATAAATGGCACCTAACTTCGTAGTATGATGCTGTCTGAGTTGCCCTTAAAGAAAAATGTATTTAAATCTTTGGGAAAAAAACACATTCTATTATTGAAAGATGTGACTTACAGTTTTTTTCAAACTTACTTTTGTTCTCCATCCATACATGTTGTTTGATGTTGTTCCTAATTATTTAGCAAAATGTTAAATTGTTTTAGTTTAAGCCCATTATAAACCTAGGCAATTACTGTACTCTCACAACATTCAATTGAATATTGTGCATATCAAAAGTAATAAAACTGAATGAATATGTGTATTAGGTTAAGTGCCACTCTCTATTCAGAAATCTCTAACTGTCCATGTTTGCAGTACTGTAGTTCATAGTGAATATTTTTCAGTATTTGCATCATTATTGGTAATGCTTGCAGTATATCAATGTAGATTGCTCTGGGAAGAACAGTTGTTTCAAATATCTACATGTAGATAGTATTTACATTTTTAAAATTATACTACATGTAGTATAGTATATACATTTTTAAAATTTACCTTACAATTAACTTTAAAATAATATTTCAGTCTTTGTTTTAAATATTTTTGTTTTGTTTTTATCTTTCACAAAGGTTCTTGGATACCTTGCTTCAATACCTCTGGTCGGACAAGAAAAGACCTGGCTAAGGAGTAGAGCTTTAAATAATTTATCACCAAGAAAGTTACTGATTTAATCCGAATCCTGTAACGCGAAAGATTCTTAATTAAGCTAAGTGTGCAATATTAGGTCAGTTAAGACGACAGTAATGCATAGGTATATTTTGAAATCTAGACATAGTAGCTGTTGTTATATTTTTGATTTAAACATGCCTGTATAGTACAATGCATACTATTTTATGTTTTCTGCAAGTTTCAATTAAAGAAAAATGGTCAAGTATATTTTGAACTCAGTGTATTTTGTAAGTTTAAAGGATTAAACATTGACTCAACATTGAACATTTAACATTGAACATACTACATTGAATCGACGTTGAAATTTACGTTGATGCAAACTTTCATTCACAACCAAAATTCAACATTGATTCAACATTGATCGTTTGACGTTATTATAACGTTAACTAATTGATGTTGAAACAGCTTTAGACATTTTACGTTGAATCAACGTTGAAATTTACGTTGATGAAAACTTTCATATTCAACTAAAACTCAATGCTGATTCAACATTGATCATTTGACGTTGTTTTAACGTTAAACATTGACGTTGAAACAACTTTAGGCATTTGACGTTGAATCAACGTTGAAATTTTACGTTGATGAAAACTTTCATATACAACCAAAATTCAATGTTAATTCAACATTGGTCATTTGACGTTGTTCCAAAGTTGAAAAATTAGCGTTGAAAAAACCTTAGACATTTGACATTGAATCAACGTTGAAATTTACGTTGATGAAAACTTTCATATACAACCAAAATTCAATGTTAATTCAACATTGGTCATTTGACGTTGTTCCAACGTTGAAAAATTAGCGTTGAAAAAACCTTAGACATTTGACNNNNCGTTGAAAAAACCTTAGACATTTTACGTTGAATCAACGTTGAGATTTACATTGATGCAAACTTTCATATACAACAAAAATTAAACGTAGATTCAATGTTTGCATATTACGTTGAATCAACGTTATTTCAACCAAGTTGTGCCCACTGGGAAGCTTACGTAAATGTATATTGTACCTAAATAAAGGAAATAGACTTGAATTAATTCAAAGAGTACCAAGCCCTCTTGCCTCTGGCAACGAAGCGGATCAGAAAAAAATTAAAGCGTTTGAGTACATGTTTGATTTGATTTGATTTATTTCGAAATTCTCACAACTAAACAGAAACTAGTTGTGGTTATTGAAACTCATAAAATATATTGACGCCAACAGAACAATCATCTGCACTATGTGAAAGAAACTAAAACGTATTGATGAGGTATATTCACACAACGTCATTCAAATCATGTACAAATGGGATTCATTGATTCATCGTCGATTCACTTGTTTCATCATCGCCAATTTACTTGTTTCATCATCAACGATTCGCTTGAATCATCATCGACGATTCACTTGATTCATCATCGATGATTCACTTGATTCATCATCGACGATTCACTTGATTTATCATCGACGAATCACATGATTCTTCATCGACGATACACTAGCTCATCGACGATTCACTTGATTCATCATCGACGATTTACTTGATTCATCTTCGAATTGTTGCTTGAACGGCATTCCATATTATTGCACAACTGCTCTGCTGAAGCAAGTTGTTGCTAACGAAAAAATGTGAATTATAGGGTAATACGCCCGCGCACGATCCAAAGGCAGAGAACACATTGGTTTGTCGTGCCAAAGGGATCTGTTGCCAAGTGATCTTCTTCTCAAAAATACCTCTATGGTCTCACCATGGCAAAGCAACTATCAACACACATCCAGTCGCGGGAGGTTTTATACACCCAGATCAATACATATTCTCGCTACTGCACAGAACTGGAGTTCATCTAACTTTCGCCGGTAGCCTATGTAGGATATTTCAGACAATCGTCTGTATGTGTATATTTCAGTAGTTTTTTCGTGGTTCTGACGATTTTTGATTGACATTTTATTACCTTTTAAAAAGCATATGCCAGGATAACCCCCTTCCCCAACGACATTTTGTACACTTGTGAAAGTTTTGATAATTATGAAGGACCCCTAAACCCATTGGTGTTATTCGCAGTGTTAAATATTTTTTACCCATAATATTGCTTTGGTTATGCCTCTTTGAATACTGTAATTATGTTCTGAGATACTATAAACAGTTATTTTGTTTACCATAATTATCAACCCAATTATTCTGTTGTTTTTCAGGTGTGCATGCATAAGATGTCAACCCTTTTCATTACAGCTTTGCTTTTATTCAGGTAGTGTATTCATTGTTTTTATTTATTATCGAATGATGTTTTGATTACAAAAAAGAATACAAATATAGAAAGAATACAAGAGAGCTCCTGGATATAAGGTTGGGTCTGGAAGAAACTATTGTAGAAGTGGTAAAGAGAAGTGGATTGAGATGGATGGGTCATGTGCTGAGAAGGGAATATGATGAACCTGTGAAAAGAGCATAGGATCTGGAAGTGGATGGTATAAGAGGTAGACCAAAGCTTACATGGAAAGATATGGTGAAGAGAGAAAGCTGTAAAGTTGTTCTAAATAAGGAGGGTGCTCAAGATAGGAAATAGTGTAATATGTGCGTGTCGTCAATGCATAAATGTCAGTAACCCTTCGTAAGAGAGAAAATGTTGACATGAATAAATGATGATGATGATGACACCTGAAGTGGTTCTAGGCCAGATTTGCTGGTGGGTGGGGTGAGGGGATGGAGTCTATTTCAGAATACTAGATGGAGGGTGTATGATGCAAATCGACTTTAAAAGAAAATAATGCCAATGGAATCTGTATATGTTGTTTATGTAATAATAGTATTCAACGTAGAAAAGGATGATAAATGATGTAAGTGTTGGTGACATTGAAATGAGATTATAATAGATAATGAGTAATGTGAGAGATAACAATTCACTGAAGTGTGAAATAACTATCAACATTACAAATTTTATAATAAAATGGAATGAATGTATTTTATTTTGAAAAAGAATACAATTACAATTAAATTTGTCTATTGTAATACTTTATACAGGCAGCAAATATAGGCCTAGGTTCAATTCAAATATAATTGTAAACAACTATTAATACAACCTTCGGAAACATGGTTGCCAAGAGAAGAAGACGATGGCGTCTTCTTTGACAAAGTCTGTTCATAAAATATATACATAATAACATACTAAAAGTCCAAAAAAGTCCCATCAGGGGAACATTTTTAATTTTAAAGATATTTAATGAGTTAAAATCAAACAACAAGTGCAAGCTTAGTGGTAAGATACCTGGAGTTCGTGGGTTTGATAACCACCCGAATCACTTGCGAATTTTTTTTGCTAGTATTTGGGGACTTATTTTACAACATTACAGACGCACTAATTCGATGGCAGGCTAAGCCCTTACAAAAAAGTCCTGTACGATCCTATTGGCCGAGCGGTTAAGTCAGGGGCACCATAACCTTCAGCTCTAATATCGGCGCTGGTTCGAATGGCAGTGGCGACGCCAGAGGGGGGGGGGCTGGGGGCTATATCCCCCGTCGGGGTTAGGCCTATGTTACTGACCTCAGATAAACAGTGCAGGTGTGGAATTGTGATTTGTTGCGATCGATTCCATAGTAATCAAGAGTAATAAAGATTGTAGCACCCAATCGCAACTTGTAACAATTGCGGTATTGATTACTTATCGACTTCTATTGGTGAGCATTCACACACAATTTTACTTTGCGATTGGGTGCAATTGGGTGTTGTAATTGTTACAACCGATTGCAATGCAATGATAGTCTGAATGGGGTATAAGGCTCATTATGAGGCTTAGGGAGTGGAGTTGTTTTGGTTGTGAGGAAGAATCCTGTTATTATAATAGGAATTAAACCCAGGACCCTGAGATTGGATAGCAAGAATTTTAAGCACCAAGATCAATCATGGTTTTCACACAATTTAAAGTTTTTTCTCTTGAGAAAATTTTAAAAAGTACAGTAGCCGTACCTGTAAATTTAAATATTTGTGTATTTCATTATGATTGCATTTGCTTTAATTATTTTCTTCAGTGTTTTCAGTGTTTCCTCTGCTGTGAATGTCATTCTATCTGTTGATGGACATGCTGTTGAAGGCCAACAAACACGATTAGTTTGTATCTTTACAAGAACTAATTCTTTAAGTACTGCTGATCCACTTATTATATGGCAAGAGGTTGTCAACAGTACAAATGTTCTTATTGTGGAATATCAGAATAACACTGTTCCAGTACGGGAGCTGCATAATGATAGATTTACTGTTGAAGGAGGTGACTTTCGGTCCACACTTGTTATTCATAACACAAAAAGAACTGATGATGGCACATATGAATGTGAAGTTAAAATTTTTGACGATAAACCTAACGAAGGCAGTCATGCGGTCACAATAAATGTTGCATGTAAGTATTTTAATTTGATTTTTTTTGGTTTAAAATCAAACTTTAATAATTCACTTATTCATAGTCAAAATAACATAGCAATCCATTTGACTATGAATAAATGAATTTTTAGTTCCTATGCATGTAATGCAATAGGAACTATTGTAATCACTCTTCACTGTTTTTCCTGTGTGTAGTGTGTGTGTAAACATTAAATGCAAATGCGCATGCGTCAAAGAAAAGTTTTCCCGACATTTTGTTTTACCTCGCGAATTGCGATGCGAAGTTCGTTCTGCAGTGTTCAGTCAGGGCTCGCGCTAACCAATCGGCAAGTCGGCATGGATGAAACTATTTTGGTTTTGCGGCAAAAAAAAATCAACTGCTGTAGGCATAGGCAATTTGAAGAAGGGCTAAAATTAAGAAAAGGTTTTAATACTTGCTGAAATACATGTTTTTTTTCATTTAGATCTCCATTTTTCGCTACCTCCATACGACGTTTTTTTCTGTTGTATGAGTAGTCATATGAAGGTATTAATATCCGCGACAGCTATACAGCAGTGTACCCTTTGAATGCAAACTGAAAACAAGTGAAGATATAAAGGCAGCCGACTGTCAGGTACATAAAGACTATGTAGCTTAGTCTTTCCACAAAAACATGAGGCCTAGGCCTAGTTCAGTACAGTAGTTACTGCGATGTGAGGGTGGTAGAACGTTTAATCAATGATATCGTCTAATACATTTAAATAAGGGTAGTATTAAAGTGCGAGGCAGCGAGGCAAAACGACGATTCATGCGAGGCATCGTTTTACCATTCCCAAAAGTGCGAGGCATAACAACGATTCATGCGAGGCATCGTTTTACATCGAAATATGTGC